CCCCTGGTCCGTCCGCTGCTGCCCCGGCCTCCGGTCCCCTGGTCTGTCCGCTGCTGTCCCGGCCTCCGGTCCCCTGGTCCGTCGGCTTCGTCTACGATCCGGTCCGGCCGCGGCTACTCTGCCCCGCCCCCCTGCCTCCTCTTCATTGCAGGCTGGGAGCCATACCCAGCCTGCTATTGGATATTGTAAAATGCAATGGCCAACAGCAAGCTGGCTATTGCACCCGCCCACTGCCTGCTGTCAATCAGCATGGGGGGACCTGATAGAGAACTTTCTCCTTCAGGCCCCTCCTCCGCTGAGCCCTGATTGGGCAACGTCTTGCACCTGACCTGTGGTCAGGTGCAAGACCTCAACAAATCAGAGCTTCGGAGGGCATCTTGCATTATGGAATATCCGCGGTCGAACAAACCGCGAACATCCCATAAAGTTCGGCGAGCGCTAAAACTGCCGATGTTCGAATTGTCCCGTCCTCCCTCCCTGAATTTTGTGGTTATGGGGGTTGGGTTCTCTTGTCACGGCAGCTTGGCGGGTTAGGGAGGTCTACAAAATCTGAGCTGATTACAATAATGGGGGGCCCTCAGCTGCTATGGGTGCTTCCCCCTGTTGGTGTCTGGAATTGTAAGGGGCGGGGCCTGGCCCCTCAGGAACCCAGAAGGAGTCAGTGTCCTCGAGCTGGTTGTGGTGCGGCTGGGGACATGGGCGGAGTGTTAGGAGAGGTCTTTTTTTGGGCTGTTGGGCACCCAAAGACCCCTTCTCAGGCCAACCATCGTTCACAGTGTTATTTGTGTATATTATTTGGTTTATGACTTTTGGTTATTGTTAAAGTGTTTGGTTTTAATAAAAGGGGACGCCGTGGCCGTTAAAATCCCATGCCGCGCGGTCCGCGTGTTTATTGGGGTTATAACGGAGGGACGAAAATTGACGAATCCATCAGTCATGACAATACAATGTGATGCCCCTTTAAACTTGTCACTGCAGATTTATTGCCTCCTCTCCTCCGTACACTTCGCCCTTCCGAACACAAAACCCTCTTTGCATCGTCCACTGCGCCTTGGACTTATAATGTCTATTTGAATGTAATATAATAACGACGAAGGGCTTCTTATCGTCCTCGGTAAAATGAGTTAGTTTTCATTTCTTCCTCTGACAAATATAATAAGAAACGCTACTGAGGAATCAGCCTTGCCCGGGGGGGATATCTGGACTATGACAAAATGGAGCCTGCGTAGATTATACAAATGGCAGGGATATGCGTCCTCGTTCTTAATACCCGACAGTCGTGCTCAGCCGTGATGTCATATATTAACCCCTCATGCTGCTTCCTGGTAACTTGAAGCTTGCAGACCAGGGGTAGCCAAACTCCGCTCCCTCACGCCGTGGTGGAACTGTTATGGAATCAAGTAAAATGACCATTTGTCTTACTAATGTATATAGGTGTGTAGCTATCCTCTTACTATCTATTCCTTGCTAAAAATGGCTGCTAGCTGCACCGCCCTCCCATCCTGTGAAGAACAAGAAACTAAGATGGCGCCTCCTCCTGGGACTACACCCAAGATGACAATGTTTGGATCCTGAAGGAAGTTTTCCTTATCTTGGACAAGACCAATCGGAAGCTTATGACGCTACGCTCACATGACCTTTGCACACAGCACTAGCTGCTTGCCTATAAAAACCTTTGTGCCTTAGCATAATAAACAGATTCATCATAGACCTGAATCTTTTGTCTGTGTGATTCTTACGGTGCACCGTATACAACAAATTAGGACGGGAGCAGATACTCATCAGACGGTTGATCTGAGTCCATTTCAGAACTACAAATCCCATGAGGCATTGCAAGATTCTCACAGCCACAGACATGAGTCCCGGAGAGAGATGCATCATGGGATTTGTTGTTTCACCCCCAGCTGGAGGGTCTGGAGTTTGGCTACCCCTGTTGTAGACCATCATAGAGCAGTGACTGATGATCCAAACCTTGGCCAACTATGACAAGTCTCAACTTTAATTCCTTCCCGGCAATAGCAGTATGCAATATGGACGTAATGTAGTAAGAATAATTTATATAATGTGATATTTTGGGGAATGCAGCACAAACGGCGAGCGCTCTAAGACCAGTCTCCAAGGCACGTTAGCATTACCAGGACAGTCTTTTTATTTCTTTCATCAACAGAAAACAAAAGCTTCAACATACAGTCTGCTAATGTCTCAGCAAGTAGACAATCTCTCACCGACCAAAGATTGTTGCACATACTCCATGTGTAACTGGCTCTCTCAGCCTCCTCGGCTTTCTTCCCTGTGCCTCTAGCACATACAGCCACCCAGCTCCACTCTGGCTTCTAGGTGGAGTCCGTCTGACTCCTGGACACAACCTGTCCCTCTTCCCAGCTGGAGCCCCGAACCTTAGCCAGCACCTTTCGCATAAGTGCTGTGCACAGGTGTGCATTTAGGTGCTGGCCCTTACTAAACCACGGACCTGGGAATGGAGATTTCATCCCACCCAATTCTCTTAGAAATCTCCCAGTTCCAGGATCCCAATGCCAAATCCAGAAAACCCGGAGAGAACGGCAAAGCTAGTTCTTTCCCAGCAACAGAATTTGTTTCCTGGAACTGCTCAGCCCCTCCAGGCTGAGAGTCCTGGGCGACTACCACCCTCAGTTCTACTGTGGGATTGCCACACAATACCACAATCATTTGAATCATTGGATTTAGAATTAAAGGGTCAGTGATATTTTAGATATAGGTGGACCCTGAGGGGCCAAGTCAGCCCCTGGCCTCTTATAGGTCTCGGTGCTCCAACAGCAAGATTTCCCTGCCAAAACTCACAACAACGTTCCCGTCCACCTGAAAGATGGGTGCTGGGGGTCGGAGACGCTCCCTGGCATCATATTACCTTTAGGAACTTCAGAAGAGAAAAACATTGGAGTTTCCATCTTTAAAGCTCAGGCTGATGGGAACACCGACAGCGCTATTCACAAAAGGGGGAAGAGTTTGGAGAAGGCTGGAGAAGGGGACAATCTAGGACAACATCGCCGAACCTGAAAGTGAGCTGCACTATAGAATGTTTCCAAATCTGCGACGTTGTCCTCGATTGTCCCCTTCTCCAAGCTCTTCACCCTTTTGTGAAGTGGTGTTCCCATCAGCCTGAGCTTTCAAGTTGGAAACTCCAATGTATTTATCTTCTGGAGTTCCTAAAGGTTCCAGGGAGTCCCTCAGACCCCCGGCATACCCACACGTATAATAGTTCTGTATTACATATTATGATTTTTTTTCTTGGCCTTCAAGATAACACAGATCTATAGAATGTATTGTCTAGCAATGTACGTTATGGGCAGGGATTGCCCAGCCTATCATCATAGACTTTTCCAAGTAACCCAGAACTCTGTTATTGTGTGTTTCTCAGTAACATTAGATTATAATGAAGGAAGGTTGTAATTCTAGCTCGGCCGTGTGTTCTGTAGACTGCCAGCGCAGCTCAAAGATGCCCCAATCTACAATCTAAGTTGTTTTCAGATATACTGTATATCCATTTGAGCTTCCAAAAAAAAATAGAAAGCAATTGTCAGGAACCGGATCTGAACCGGGGGCCCAAGATTTAGCTGGCGGTGGTTCTACCTGCTGAGCCACCTTAGGACCTTGGAGAGCTCCTTGCCTGATCTCCTGTGTAATCCTCAGTTAAACTTAGTTTCTGCTGAACTCTGAACTCCTTGCTCCTCCCTTGAACTTCCTATTTAAGCCACGCCTCTGCACTTCCTGTTTGCCAGATTGTTGTGCTCCTGCCATTATCTTGCTTCCTGCTCCCTATGTGATACAATCCTCTCATACTGCTACCCGTGTTCCGACCTTTGGCTGCTGATTCACCGACTACTCTCATCATCTTCCGCTTCATATCCAATACCTTTGGCTCCTGACCTCGGCTTGTACGCTTCTGCCTGCTCCTCCACTACTACCCTCAGCTTGTGTACCAAACCCGGCCTGTTATACCACGAATGTGCCTGCTGCTTCAGCTACCGGCCTCTGAGCCTGATCCCGGATCGTGACAGCAATTAGGGCTTTTTGGAGTGTAGGGTGTGAACTAAGTAGGGTTACATCAAGAGGGAAAGCTATAAGTGCTCTAATTATTTGTTATTGCTCTCTTATGCAGGAGGGGGCAACAGCACCTACGGGAACCCCATCGAGACCGTGGAGGACAACACTTTTGGGGTGAGTATGTGTTTTTGTAATTTGATGCATGGTGAAGAGTACAAGGATCTGTTCTCAGCCGACTGTGAGTCCAGATCTGTTGTCTCTAAACATGGGTGGCTTTACAAATGTCTCCGTGGTGCCTTTGACAGCATTCATGTCAGTGTTCGGTGGTTGGCTGTCTCAAAGGCTTGTCAGCAAGCACAAAAAACACGATCAAGAGGCTCTCATTGCTTTATGGAATCTAGGCATTTAGAAAACGTTTACAATATAAATACTGTGATGGAGTGTGTTTAGAAGTTCGGGAAGTGCCATTACTGGATTGACATGGAATCTAGGCATTATTTACTGGTTCAGATCTGCTCAGCTATGAGGAGGAATGGCCAGACGCTAGCAATTAAATCCAGATTTATGCTCGTGTACCTGATAGTTAGCAGCATGGGGTCACCGGAAATGTAATTGTAGTGTTACAGAAAGACCTTCAGTATTTATGGGTAGAAATGAGCAGGTCAGGTCCCTCGAACCAGTCTGCTCATTCATCCTGGAAAAGGGGTTGTTAGTACTCCTGACCAGTTAACACAGGAGCCACCAATTATTGGAAGCCCTCACCGTATCCTAAAGAGCAGGTTACCTATGCATCATCCAGACACATCCAGTCTATGAGGTTGCCGAATCCAATGAGTTCCTTTGTTTTACATTTTGAAGCAGAAGAAGTGTTGCCCTTCTATATTGCGTGTGTAGGACATCCTAGTAGGTGGGAATAAATCCCACTGCACAATCCTCTTGTAAATATTTGTAGGAGCTCTGTTATAGAGAATCTGTGTTTTGGGATGGAGCAAGTGCTCAGCAAGTCAATCTATTAAGAGTTTACGGCCCTATTCCGGGAGAATGGAAAGCTTCCAGGTCAAGCCCAGAGGTCTTTATGTAAAGTGAAGAGAGGAATCAAGGACCTAGATATTCACACATCACCAGGAGCTTGCAAGCCACACAATTAGCCACTGCTCTAGTCCAAGTTCTGAAGCACTTTGTGGGTTCTCTAAACAGGTCATCTGAAACTCAGCCCCATCCTATACAGTCACAGACAACTTACACCCATTGGTCTCATTGCTCATCTTGGTGGGCCTCCTACCGTCTCTTCCAGGAGCTCACTTCAGTCTCATTCTACACACCGAGCAAAAGACCTGAGGGGTCACTTGGGGATCCCAGAACACTGACACACTGACACTTGGGGGTCCAGAACACTGACACACTGACACTTGGGGGTCCCAGAACACTGACACACTGGCACTTGGGGGTCCCAGAACAGTGACACACTGACACTTGGGGGTCCCAGAACAATGACACACTGGCACTTGGGGTCCCAGAACAATGACACACTGACACTTGGGGTCCCAGAACAATGACACACTGACACTTGGGGTCCCAGAACAATGACACACTGACACTTGGGGGTCCCAGAACAATGACACACTGACACTTGGGGGTCCAAAAACAATG